CCCCAAAACCCCAAAACCCCAAAACCCCAAAACCCCAAAACCCCAAAACCCCGATTTTGAAATTCAAAATTGAATTTACATGTAATTAATAAAGATACGGATCCTTCAAGTTGTCAAGGTAAACTCTATTTTGGTTGTTTGGTTTCATGGCCATTCTGTTCCTGTAAAGCTCCTTGTTGAACTCCTCAGTTTTGAGCATGTACCATCCCTCTTGAGGTGGTCTATTCTTCTCATATTCCTTATCTCTTTGGAGGTTGAGCATCTCTTTTTCAATTCTTCTCTGCTCGTACAGTAAAGCTTCGAAAGCTTTGAGCATGTATAGGTTCTTCTTTCCAGTTTTACCTTCTTTCATGAGTTCTTCATACCTATTTCTTGCTTCACGTGAGATCTGAGGGTCTGTGGCAAGGATCTCTTCTTCATCAGGATCCCAAGTGCCATTGCTCATTTTGACCATCTTGACATAATCTCTGATTTGATCTATCTTGTTCTCGAGGCCTTTGATGACTTCAGCTGTTTCGTCTGCTTTCATCTTGTTCTTACTCTCATCGTGATAGTGAGAGTAGTAATTGGTATTGAGCACATCATCTTTGATGGATTTTACATGTGTGGTTAGCTTCTCGATGTGATGTGGTCTGATAAACCACTTCCCATCCTTCTTCTTTGGTATGGTCGACTTTACATACCTCTGGTAGTAGTCCACAGGTAGGTTGAGGGGGTACGAGGTGGTCGCATTGTCGTATACGAGGTAGTCTTTCTCGAGAACTCCGAATTTCTTGAGGGGATTGTAGAGCTCTCCAGTCTCAGGATCTTTGTATTTTGAGAGCCATTCTCTTTCTTCCTCCTCTCTTCTCTTTTTCTCCTCAATAGCTTCTCGATCTTCCTCGTCCTCTTCATCAAGATGAGTGAATTGGGGATGGTCTGGTTTTGTAAAATTGTCGATTGAGGATTGCTTGAGCCTGCCAGAGGTCTGTTTTATATCTTGGCTTTTGTTGTTCTCCTCTTGCTCCTCGAGATCGATCATTTTCTCAAAGGATTCGTCAATGAAACTATCCTTTTCATCATCTTCTTTAATAGGTTTTTCTGTAGAGAGGTGCTTGCCTTCCTTCTTAGAGAGTTCTTGAGATTCTCTGAATGCACCGAGGCGGTGGAATGCACGCATCATGATTTCCTCACCTGGCTCACTCAGGCTCTCATTTATAGGATCTTCAGTGGTGAATGGCCTGTTGTTAAACATCTCCATTTCCCGATTGAGACGTTGGCCGAACTCATAATTGTTATCCTTTGAAAGGCTGATTACATTGTGGTACACCGTGCTGATCTCTTTGGATGTCTTGAACAAAGTCTTGCTCAGGACTAAGTGGAGTATCCTGATTTTATACCCAAAAGAGAAGACTTCTTCCCTCCGCTCATCCATCACTCTGTTTATGTGGGCGATAAACACATTGTTTTCAATGACTTTCTTGATCTTCTCATTTTCAACTTGGAGCTGCTTGATCTTGTGGTCAACTTGTTGTTGGCATTCATGGATAAACCTGTTGATGGCATGACATTCTTTGTTGAATTTATCTTTAATTCCTTGTAAAGTTTGTCTGAGCAGCTCCAAAGGGATAAGATCCTCATCGGTGATTTTAACATCAGGAGCTTCTTTGAGCTTCATCTGTTTTTGTAAGATTTCAGCTTTCTCCTTTATGTATTCGTCTTTAGTCTTGTTGAGTAAATCTATCATTTTTGAGTACTCTATTTTGGATGGAGCAAGCTTGACCACTAGGTCAGCTACGTCAAAGAAAGAGAAGAAGAATTGATTTAGTACACATTCTCTGGACACTCTCTCGACAAAGGTGTTGAGCATAGTGAAGTCATCATAAAATTTGGTCAAATGATTCTCCATTCATTTCCTTAAGTCTCTAATCTCTAGGAGCTTGAAATCTTTTAGCTCGAGGAGGAAGTTATTAAGACAGTTCTCTTGTTTGATAGTTTCATGCCTGTCACGAGTAAGGTCACTAAAGTCCTTTATACATTGCTCAAGCAGTTCTTTGTCTACAGTAATCTCTCTGCTATATTTTGCTGTAATTTCCTCAATCTCTTGCTCTTTTTCATTGATCTTGTGAGTGGTTAGTTCTCTCAGATCTTTCCGTTGTCTCCAGTAATTGATCTTGTCCTTAAGCTCAGTGTTCTTCAGGTTCAGAGTCTTAGTGTTGAGGACCCCTGAGAGGTTCTCCTCCTGCTTGAGGTACTCGTCATATGCAGTAGATAATGCCTCCATGCTGAGCTTCTTCTCTTCCTGAGTTTCTAAGAGTCAAGATGGTAGTTACCTTTCTTTTTGGGTTTAGCACTGTTCTTTCTCATACTTTTGTTAAACAGAGACGTGCTTCTTCCTAATTTCCCTTCCTGGCTCTTCTTGGAATTTAAGGTGTCGTTAAAGCTAAATGGCGACTCTTTGGAACTGATTGTACTCTTGCGAAGCCACTTTTTCATTACTCCCTAGAAGTATTTAGGCATAAAGCTTACCTTTGCAAGAGCTGCCTTTGTGGTCGTCGGTTCGTTTTCCTTCTTCTTGTTCTTTTTGCAGTATAAATTGAAGAGTTCCTTAAGGTCTGTATCTATTAATTTGCTGCCTTTAAGGACCAACTTTGCAAAATCTAGAAATTTATGCTTGGTGAGTTTCTGAGGAGTTGATCCCATAAGCTCATTATAGAGCTTCTTCATTCCTTTGAGTTGGGTGCTGAAGAGAACTCCTATAATGCTCTTGGCAGTTTTAGAGTTCCTCGGGCTATTCGTTTTGGCTTTGATCTCCTCAAGCCTCAACTGACACTCTTTAAAGAAGGTTTTAGAATGATTTTTGGTCTGTTCCTTCTTTTTATGATTTTCTTCTCTATTTTCTCTGCTTTTCGAAAATATCTCTGGTCTCTTTAGAGTTGAGTTTGCGACCTTCACGGTATTCAATCTTGCGAATGATATCCTCAGCAGATCGTTCCTTACTGGTGGAGTGCCTGAGAACTTCGATAGGAGGCTTTATTAAATGATCGGGTAAAATCTTTTGGAAAATCTCCTTTTCATGATATTTTATGGGACTCCCAGCCACTCCTATCTTCAGATCACGAATAGGGCTTCCTCCTAGCGAACTTCTGTGAACTGGGTTGATGCAAGCCAGATGTGAGTGGGAGAATTTAGGTAGTTTCTTAATTTCCTCGAATTCTACTGCTTTGGACACCTCAAGAGGATGCTTATAAGGGGACTCCATTATTTTTAAATTTTAAATTTTGCTCTCATTTTGTTCCTTTTGTAAAGGGGTTTTGGGGTTTTGGGGTTTTGGGG